ATCGATTACTTTTTCCGCACAGCTTCTGAGCGCGTTGACTGATGGTCACCAATTGCTGGTAGCTCATCAACGAGACCGAGGGGACTAGTTTCACGCCATTCCCGATAGATTTCAACACCCTCCGGCTTTACCACAGGAACTAGCCCGTTTTTAGACCCTATCCTGTATTTGGACCTTCTCCTCTAACAAAAACATAATCAGTTGTTGGTGCCCTTTTGTCTGTCGACCCATTATCGAATTCGTCGAATTTGAAATCGAATAGAGCCGATTGAGTCAAATAAACCCATTCTAATATTGACACCCTTTAAAATATCCATGATCTCTAGATGGTAGGCTGGGAAGCTTTGGCGTAGACATTTTAACGGAGCCCAGCTAGTAGTTCCGTACCGCACGACGTCTCGTGCTAGATTGTTATTGAGTTGTGTAAATGTAATAAGATATGTGTTTTTATCATTATTATTAGTTAGAGTTTTTTAATTTTAAGACTGTTGTGAATTAATCATTTTTCAATGAACCTGACGATAAAAATGTTTCAGGATAGTAATTATTGGTTGAAGTTATGTTCTAAATCTGGGATTGAGGAATTAGAAGAGGGATATGATAAGTTTATTTCCGAATCTACAAACCTCTATGTCATATTTATTTTTTTACAAAATGTGTGATGTGATAGATAATGAAGTACTATTTCATGTCAGAATGATTTCCTATACCAGTTAGGTTTGATATATTGAAGCTATTGCCAGTTAGCTTTCAATATAGGTTAGCAACGCGTGTTTTTTGGCAAGAATTTATTAGACAATAGTTGATCGCGTGAAATAAAAGATATTTGCAAAGGCAAATAAGCTGTATATTTTGGATGTTATCCCTTATAATGCCCTTCATGACAGAATCGACTTACTGCCACGAGTACATGCAGAACGATTATTGAATACCTATATTCCCCACTGAGCTCTAGAAAACACGCACGGGTAGTGTAGCTACATTTCGTTTATCCAGAAGCAAAATAAGGGGCTATCAGCATTAGCTTAAAGGACCAGAAAAACGAAACGAAAAGCCTGATCGAGATGAGGGTCTTCGAGGAGAAGCTCGGCAACAATACATTTAGATTTATTTAGTCAAAAACAGTAAAAACTGTATGTGACGTATAGGGGAGAAGATTATCTGCGCACGTTTTCTTGAGTTCCAGAATCCCTTCCCGTCATTTTAACTATAAATAGTTGGAAGATGAGTAAAAGTTTAAAATAAATAAAAATAAATTTTTAAGAAGCGCGAGATTCGCAATATTTGAAAAACAGACATTTTCGTTCCCGATTTATAGAAAACTTATTTGCATCGGTAAACGAATTGAAAGTATGATTTTTCTGAATTGCTAACAAAATACTAACTCGGCCTTACCTGTACTCCTTCCATTGCAAGCAAAAGGAGAGTCCAATAAAACGTGCGCATAGTGAAGCTACATTTACGTCCAGAAGCACTAGGGGTCATCTTAGTATTTGCTCAATGGATCAAGGAAACTGGACAAAAACCTGATCGAGATGAGGGTCATTGACCCTTAAACTGAAATACATTATTTGTTACAAGCATATTACGTTTATTGTAATTTATATCATGCAAATGTAAAATAAATTATTATATATCACTGTTTTGTTAAAATAAACATTATTTTTCTTTTTGATAATCAGTATAGTCTCTAATTGTATAGAAACAGTTAAGCAGCAGAAAAGATTTTACTTAAATTTGTGAACTGACTTCAATTGTTTAATATCATCTGGCTATGCGTTGTAATGTAATGTACATGTATTGTATGTTGATTTCTGATAGTGAGCCGTTGATACTGACACTCGATGAACGTGATTTTTACGACGTGTGTTGTAATTATAAATATCAGCATGCATGAAAATATGTTCCCACCGTTTAGTAACTTTTGACAAATATTACAGATTCGTTAATATATAGGCAAGGCAGTGGTAAGATTCCGAGCTCAATGAAGAGGATTGTAGGAATCACGTGGATGGCATTTATTCATTATTCGAATAATTTTCTTTTGCAGTCTAACACGATGAGTTTCCCCAGAATTTTATGCCATATCGCAGGTGGGATTGCACATTTGAAAAATACGAGTGTATTCAGCCTTTTACAGACCAAATGGAAACCACATACATGTCCAACATTCAGCCTTTTACAGACCAAATGGAATACATTAAATATCATTGTTAAAATTAATATTATTTATCTCTTTGATGATGTTTTGTGAACATTTAAGTGATAAAATAAATTACGACGGAACAAATCGATTCCGTGGAAACAAATGGCAAATTCTAAACCCTTTATTCAGCTTATTGAATGATTTACTAATGAACTGAAATAAGATAAATTGCATCTCCAAAGTATCTATTTGGGTTCATTATATATTTCCATTATTTCGAGCAGTGATCCTATTTGTTGACGTGTTATTAATGCAATATCCTAATTGTTTATAACTACCGAAAATTGTATGTGTAGTATTAACTTGTATGCACTTCCTTATATTGCGTGCTCGCATTGCTATGCGAAAGGAGAAACTCATCGTTTGGAACCACTGGACGGCGACTAAAGACGGGAGCCAGTCCTTGCATAAGAAGGCTTTCGAAACGTGACATTTCCTGACCCCGGCTTTTCATTGTTATCACAAGGGGGCGGATTTTAATGAAATGTCATTTCTTCCTTTTCACTTCAGAAAAATGCCGTTCAATGTTTAGATTAAGGGAGTGTTACTTCAGATGTTGACGCCAGTTGGTGGCTACAATAGTAAGTTGTTACGAATCGTAACACAAGCTACTAATGCATTATATATCATTGTTAAATTAAATATTATTTTTCTTTTTGATTGTCAGTACAGTTCGTAATTGTACAGAAACGATTATGCAACGGAAAACATTTTACTTCGAACTTAAATTTGTGTATCTGTTTTAATTGGTTAATGTCATCTAGCAATGTGCTGTGAAGTAACCTAATACATGTATTGTAGTGACCTCTTAATATTAACACCTAATTAATGTGATTTCTACGACGTGTGTTGTAATTATAAATATCAGTATTGCAGTTAATGGTGGGAACATATTTTCATGCAAGTTTTGACAAAAATTACAGAATCGTAAATAAATAGACCAGCCAATGGTAACATTCCAAGTACAGTGAAGAGACGCAAGAATTACGTGGATGGCATTTCCTTATTATTCGAATATTTTTTCTGCAATCTAAAAGTCTAGGTACTATAGGATGAGCTTCCCCAAAATATTATTTTGGGCGGAAATGTACATTTGCAAAATATACGCAAAGAGCTCCATGAAGACTGACAGAATTTGAAAGAATTCTGAATGAGTAATATAATGATATAATATATTCAGTTATGTATACATTCCATTTGACGTTTGAATTGAGTAATCCGGAAATTTTCTTATCTTAACATCAGCCAATTGCACATTGTACATTTCCAATAGCGCATAACGTAGTCGTTTTAAAATTCAAAAGTACATTAAATGTTTTTCCTTCGTTAACAATTAATATGTTATTACGAACTTGAAACTTCTGAAATCGTATAATTTATTGATTCTTTTTTGCAAAGAACATTCGTGTTATCAGGAAACAACTTTTCTTCCGTTTCTAATGGTCGAGATCATATCGTTTTCATATAAAAGTAAAAGGATAGAGTCAAAAATCGAACCCTGCGGGATCCCATGCTCAATTAGCATAGAATTGGAAATATGAGTAAATAATGTTCTTTCGTTCCAGTAACAAATTTTTACTCTTGGAGATCGATGTTTAAGTTATGAGGATATCCAATCTAGGGCAATGCTACGAACTCTATGTGAAGGTAATTTAGAGATCAAAACTGTTATGGTCAATGTCATCAAAAGCTTTTGAAAGATCTGGAAATATTCCAATATATGCTTCATTCTCACCCATTGACAAAGCAACGTAATTAAGAAAAAAAAGAATTCTCATTTACATAAATTATAATTTTCTAAATCCATGTTGAGAGTCTGAAAATACTTTGTTTTTCCTGAGAATTGTTTTCATTCACATGTAGAAATGCCTCTCTAATTATAGTACCAGAAATATTTATAATAGAATAAAAAAAAGAGTTATTTTGTAATTCAATGAAGCAATATGTTTTGTAGAATTGCATTATAAAGATCATTTTTGTACTCATCAGGATGTGGCTTTAGTCCCCTCCAAACTCTGAAATTGTGTGAACCTGTTTGACGTCAATATGTATGGCGTTAATTCTTCTTTTCTTGTGATTGTGATACTGGTTTACAAAATTTGTAGTTGAATCATCGTGGTAGTCTTCTACCATGAATATTATTTTGATCTTGTCATATGGATATGAAAACCCATTTCCTGAGGTCTCCTCATACATACCTGTATACAGATTGAGTGCCTAGGCTGAGTGAAATGCAAATGACTTGTGTTCGCAGCCAACTTTCAAAAGTATTTTTATTTTCTTTACAAATAAGACTTCTTTGTATACTGTGTCTCTCTGTCGAAATTATCACATTCATATTCAGTGAATATTTATAATACTTAATGTTTTAGCAGTGCTTTATTTTTAAAATTTTAGGTCCTGGAACGTGCCCCAAATTAATTATCAATTTAATAGAAATAGTTATATATTTATAATATAATTTAGTAATTATTCCTGAGGTGCCCCGTTTAATGACTTTTCTCATAATAGATCCATTCTTACACTGATTAAATTGATTGATACATGTGTTATCTTTGCAAGGAATTTGAAATAAAACTTCTTTAACTATGAATTTGAAAAAACATTAATTAAAAACTATTTTGAAACTTAAACTAATTTTTATTTCAATTTCAATGCTTTTTGTTATTTTTATGTGTGTATGGTTTAATCATTTTTTCCTTTGCATTTATAAAAAAGATAAACATTACCTCCAACTAAAGTAATTACTTTTTATGTTAATGTCTTTCATTAATTAACATTCACATGTTTTCAGTTGTGACAGGTTCAACAGATGGTATCGGCAAAGCTTATGCTATGGAACTAGGAAAGCGCGGAGTGAATATTGTTCTAGTCAGTAGAAATAAGCAGAAACTGGAAGAGGTTGCAAATGAAATAGGTATGATTGTCTATTATTTATTATATGATTGTGTTTGAAATATTTTGTAAATTTTAATATACAGCTTTACAAATACCATTAAAAACTTATAAAAATTTTGTTCCCTTCTTGTAATTGAATAGAAAGAGAGTGCCAAGTGAATACAAAAGTAGTAGTAGCAGATTTTAGCAAAGGACAAACTGTATTTGATTATATAGAACGCGAACTAAGAGAGATACCTGTAGGAATCCTGGGTAAGTTAGATAATTATTTTATGATGGTTGAAAATGTAATGTCGTATGCTAAAATATCATATTCACCTTTTTGATTCATCCTTCTTTGTTCAGTAAATAATGTAGGAAGAAACTATACTCATCCAATGTACCTTGCTGAAGTACCAGAACAGGAATTGTGGGATATTTTGAATATTAACATTGGAGCAACTACAATGATGACTCGCATGATATTGCCACAAATGCAGAATAGAAAACGTGGAGCAATTATAAATGTTTCATCTGGGTCAGAGTTACAACCCCTTCCTCTAATGACAGTCTATGCTGCATCAAAAGTTTGTGAAAAATATTTCAATTTTTTGATGAACAAATTTCTCATTGAAAATATCATAGCTTTCGAGATAGCAATGATTTATTTCAACAGAATAATTAATACTTTTTTTTGTAGGTTTTTGTAAAGAGTTTTTCAGAGGCTCTGAGATATGAATATCAGAAAGATGGTATTACAATACAGCATCTTTCACCATTGTTTGTGAACACCAAAATGAATGCATTTAGTCATAGATTACAGACCAATAGTGTGTTTGTGCCAGATGCAAAAACATATGCTCATAATGCTCTCAACACTTTAGGAAAAGTAAATAGCACCACTGGGTACTGGGCTCATGGAATCCAGGTAGGTACTTGCAATGTGTAAATAGAGTACAAAAGTTAACTGTTTTCTTATAAGACTTATAAAAATATTTTGAATGAATTTTCTTACTGTACAGTACACATTTTAAGCTTGTGCTGAACTGTTCTTAATTTAATATTTTGTTCTTTTTCTGAACAGTAAGGTTTGCTTCTATCATTTGAGTAATATAGAATATTAGCATTATATTAATTTCATAAATCTTAAAACTATATTTCTTATGATCTATTACTGTTTTCTTATTTTATAATATTAGTTTTTTTGTCTTATCTTATTTTACAATTTATTTCTTTTATTGGTCTATTTAAAACTTGGGTTGAAGGGCCTACTCATGATATTCTTAAAAAATACCAGTAGTATCTGTTATGTAACAGTGAATACACATTATTGCAATAAATTACACACAATAAATATCTTGTTGAAAACTTAGCTTTCATAATGAAGAATATATTTTTAATTGTTTTGTATTTTGATAACTTTTTTCATTTTAACTCGTTACTTTACACAATATTCATTGTTTATAATTCTTGCCAGAACTGCTTTGATCCTGATAGGTTTATCGCAATTGCACTGTGAAAATTTATACACAACATGAAGTGTAGGCTCTATTATGGTTAATCATTGCTCAAAAGGGTTGTAGTTATTATTATGTATTTCATTTGCATGGACATAGCAAAATTGGTGAACAATAATATGGTTTTAATTTATATCAATTCTGTATGCACAAAATAAAAAAATGGGCCCTTTATAATATAATCTGACATTAATTCTGTCCAGGGGAAACCTGGTCTCATTCTTCTTTCTGAATTTCTCTGATTATCTGTTAGTAATGCCTAACATACGTCCCAAAGCAACTAGATAGTGATTCAGCCTTTCATCCAAACACTGGGACATCACACCATGCTTTGGATATGAATTTCTTGAATTAAAACCTCAAATCCTCTTTAATTATACAATATAATGAAAACATTAATGTAGAAATTGAACTTGCATACATATTTAATAGAATAAATACATGTAATGAAAATTATACATCTAATGTGTGGTTTCCTGAATAAAATGGCAATTCCAATACTTTTATACATAATACTAAATATCATTAGTTTCTGTAACTAATATCCCAAGCATTCTCGTGGCCTCTGCATGATGAGTCAAAATTGTATAGATCTTATATAATTCATAGTCATGCCAAACTGTAGTTGAAATTAGAAATTGTTTTAATTAATGTAGTACAAGCAAGAACCCAGCTTTCTCATGTTCACAATTGGGATAAATCACTCACCATAAATGTATGTTTTGTTTCATATACATTTAATAATAATTGTATTTCTTTTGCAGTATGCCTTGACAAAAATTCCACCAGTTTGGATTCGGACCTATATAGGAGGACTAATGAATCAAGTATTCAGAAAGGATTATTTTAAATCCCAGAGTAGTGAATTGTAAGGGATCTATTAAAAGACATTCAGACATTTATTTTTGCGTGAAATAAATGGTGTATTTATTAATTTCCTTAAAGGATGACACCTTGATGTGCATATTGTATTTTTTGTGTGGAAAAGGTACAAATATTTGATCTGAATGTGATGAGTCGTTCCTTTGTCTACATATGCTTTTCATTTGTAACAGTATGGTATTAACTGATTTTATTTGAAGAAAACTTTTTTTTCCCTATTTCCTTCATTGAGTATTGAAAAAATGATTTATTGCTAGTACATTTTCAAGTAATATAATGACTACCATTCTTCATGTAAAATTATCCAAAAAAATATGTTCATGAATGTGCAGTGAAAAGCCAGTCATCTGACAAATTGGAATTAAAAGATTACTAGATTTAAGTTTTAGTTACATGTTTGGTTCACCAAGAGTGCAACTTACATGCAATCATATTACATTATGTGTTTGTTTTACCTTTCTCATTGAGATTTGTTCATAAGTGTTTTTGATGTTCAAGAACATAGTTTCATTTAATGTGGATAGTCTCGTTTATGAGAGAATGTCCAGTCTCGTTTATGAGAGAATGTCCAGTGTTAACTATCATTAGACATGAATTAATGTTACCTGTGTGTATATACTAAAATCCATTTAGAAGTGTATATTAAATAATAATACTGTCATTTGCCCACATATAATCATAAATATCTTTGTAATACCTAATATTACATAATATGAAATATAAATATCCATGTCTTTCTGTATTTTACAAAAGAGCATTTAAAATGCAGACGTATCAGAAAATTGCAATTGCATTATTTTCCTCTAATGCAAACAGGTTTTCTCAGTTGCTTTGAACAAGAAATAAAGTTAAAATTCAATGTATTTTGTCAAGACCATCATCTCAGTGACAAAGACACACAAGCAAATAATTAAATAAACTCTGGAATTTTATCAGAGAATCATAAATAAAATGTTAATAGTGAGAAGACTGATTATTTTTCATTTCTTTTATAAATTAAATGATTAGAAAGTTTTTTAGAAACATGAGTATGCTGTATGCAAGAATGTTGTTAATGTTAACACAATCATTATAACAACATGAAATCTTTTTAAATGTTTAATTTTGTTAATTTCCAAGAAACTCTGTATTTCAGACAAGTATATTAACCTTCAACAAATATGCTACTTTCGTTGTTTTTTTCCTCTATGAGTTTTATTATACCTTTTCATTTCTTCCAAAAATCTTGGAAGACATTTTGTCTTAGCTTTATTTTCAAAACTTAAGAATATTAAATGGGAAGTAGAGGAACATAAAATTATTGGATTAGAAATGAGAAGCTCTGGATATGCTTTTTCCTTACTTACTTAATGATCCAGTAGCCATTTTAATCTGCACTGATCCTTGCAGCCCTATACAATTCTCTACTATTTTAGTTCCTGAAACATATCAGAGCATATTCAAACAAATACATTTTAAATGAAATTAAAGCTAAATAATACGTTCTTGTGCAATAAAATATTTTCAGTTTGTAATATATACATTTTACAAAGAATGATTTGGACAACTTACAAAAGCTAGTCCTCCAGCATTCATGCATCGATAGTACCTGTGTTTGTAGTCCTCATTCTTTCACAGTGCAAATAACAGCATTGAATTCTATGAGTGATTTTCAGCGATATTAACCTGCAATGAATTAATATATTATAGTATGCTCAGTATCAAATGTTCCATTTTGTTTGAAAGAAAAAATAATGCATACATACTTCAAAATACTTGAGTAGCATTCATATATGCAACTCTTGGGATAAATCTGTGAAGTAAAAACAATGAAACAAACAAATTGCAGAATATAACTGCTATCACTCACTTTCTGTATTCATTTAGGCAAATTATGAGCTTGAAATGTTCACATTCTCATAAACATTTCCCATGCATTTTTGTTATTATGTTTATTACAAAGTCGCCACAGCGCAGAAATTGACAAAATAACACTGCTTACGACACAGCTATCGTCTTGTGACAGCAAGGCTCCAAGGAATAGACCGTTCGGTACTAAATATTTGCTATTCGTGTTGACTTATAGAAAATCAATCTTTTTGATATGTTGGTGGGTAAAGAACTATTGTTGAGTGATTTATTAGTGATTCCGGGCTTATCAAATACTAAATGTCACTTGTACCGTAAATATAGTGAGTGTTTTATCGTAGAAAGTGGTGGCGACCTTCCTCCGCTGGATGGCGGGCATTCGATACCGACCTACGTCGGCATGTGGGAATTTTCCTCAACGAGGTATTTCCCATCAGCGTGGCACCATCCCAACCGGGACAAAATCTAAGCTCACGAATGAAGTCTTGAAGTGTGCGATAGTGTAGTGCACGTAAGTGTGAGTGTAAATAAGGAATGAGGATTCGGCAAGAAAGAGGAAGAGAGATCGCGCGCGGTCCCTGACCCGTTTGTCAGGGTACTGCTCCGGCATTCGCCTGTTGAACGGAGAATCCACGGAAAAATTCCTAGCAAAGCAAGTAAAAATTTGACGTAGCTGACGTGCTAGTGTCAAAAATTTTGGCACCGTCGCGACGCATCGAGACTCAAAATCCAGGACCTCCCGGTCGGAGGCTGCTAAAGAACTGTTGTTATACATGTTTTTGCAGTATTCAGGAAGACTGTTTTTATTAACTTTTTTTATTTATTTCAGAATTATACGAGAGTATATCATTTGTTGTTCTTGAGCAGTGTTCGTGCTACTTTTTGCAAAACTATTTGGCGTGGTTTTGTTCATCAGCATTTTTGCTGATGCAAGCTAGTAGTATTCTATATTACTAATTTCCAATGCGCGTAGAAATTGAAATAAATTATGCTTCTTCCGGCCCTGTGAGACGTGTCTATGGTTTCGTTAGAGTAAATCAGGAGAATCCCAAAACAATAAAACAGTTTTGTTTTCGACTGAAAAATGCAAATATTTCATTGTATTATTCCACCTATATCCATTATTCTAAAATTAAGACAATTGATTGTATAATAAAAATTGTAATGTGTAGTTAAATGTTCTGAATATTTTTTATATCTGAACCGTTCCGGGAACGGAATTAGGGTATTTGGTATCAAAAAAAGGACGAAATTAGACAGTGGGTTTTGTAAATACTTCGAGGTGGAGGGGTGGTCTCAACAATTTTAGGTCACCTTCAACGAAACCATCCAGTAGTGTTATTAATCAACATCCAGACTCATAATACGAAGAAAAGACTTATCTTTCATATCACAATTTCTAAGTTTGGAAAAATGAATCCCTTTTCACTAAACACACACACACACACACACACACACACAATTCCTCTGTAGATTCTTCCCAGCTCCCGTTGCCACCACTGTTTTCAGTAGTAAACTGAAATGTAAAAAAAGTTTCCCATAGCCGTTGCCAAGTAGTAGTTCTTAGATACGAAGATAGAGTGGGGGACGGATTTAGGAGCGGAAACGATGGGCGCTTTGCCCTACACGACATAATCTGACACCACCTACATAATAGGCCAAACTTTACATCATAATTAAAACAATAATTTAACATTTGTCGTGAGGAATGAGATAGAACCTCCATCACACTCACATTTTCCAATACTCCAGTGGTGAGGGCTCACCACCATATTCAAACTTACAGAATATCTGAGAGATAAACAGTTGCAAGTTTATTTTTGTTAAAAGTTGGACCATTATCTAATGCGGATGCAGAGGGCCAATGGCCAAGCTAGATTTAATTTAAAAAAGTAAAAGTTAGATCATGACTACAATCGTTTACTCGGCGTGTTTATGAGGTAAATGGTGCAATCGTCATCATCGAGTGAAATTATATTTACAAAAAAATTTGGAAAGACGTTAATATAATCGTTTTAGTTGCAAATATGGTCTTTATTTTTTCTTTAAACTGGGGTAGGTTGTGATAGTGCCTTTCACCTTTGAGGTACATTCTACACTAAGGAAGAATATCCCTGCGAATTACTTATGTCAGAGTTGTGCTCTCTTCTGAAGTAAGTTTTGCAACATCAGTGTCTTCTAGATAGAAGGTACCCGGCTAAGGGCGTTCGCTCAGTTTTGTGTCGATGAGAAAGTTTATGGATTCTTTGAACCTCCGAAACATTCCTGTTGTAGAGAGTGGCCCCCCGTCATAAACGCGGCGTGCGGTTTTCATGTTGCTCCACAGTCGTGCTCGTGTTTCCCTTGTACTTCTGCCTGTTTTCCCATGTCAACCACTCCGCGCCAGCCAGATCAGCATCCACATCCGAGCGTGTCTTGGATGTCAAACCCAGTCTCAAAGTATTTCTCAGGGTTCACTTTCAGGCATATTTTTGTGTAATAGAATATTGGTTTTGAGCTGGCGTGATCCAACAAATGAACTAATATAGTATATGAAAAGTTCCACGCTAAATACTACATATGTACTTGTGTAGAAGCCTGCTTATAAATAAATGTCCCGGGCAATATAAATGTGATAGTCTAATAAGATTCAAAGGACATAATTAAATATTATCGGCCATCTTCATACCAATGCATGCCTTATTTCATCCAATGATAATATGAAATGCCTGACTATTATGTTCTATTATCCTCTTGTTTACCACCTTGTAAGTTCCTTAATACTCTCTGATACATTTATCGAAAATAATTTGTTATTATCTTCTCGATCTCGAAATCCTGACCACAGATTTTGATATTATTGTATGGTAGAAAAGCGAGTTTGTAATGCTACAAAGTAGCAAATCTTTCTTTAGGGAAAAGAAACTGCTCTGTCTGAAAAATGCACTAAAAGTGACGCATTAATGAATTAGTTTTTCTCTATAAGTGTATGCATGCAGTATAAATCTTAATCTTTTCTTCATTTGCTCACATCATGTCTTCATTCTTGAAATCCAGTCGTCCACGTCGGTTATCACATTTCCACGTTAGACCAATATCAGCACTCATATGAGTGTCTTCGCGTATTTTTATTTTTATTTGTGTCAGAAACAGTATCTGACATTTATGGTGCGATAAAAAAGTTCAGAAGCTGTGCAAGGGACCATCGCGGCATTTAATCTGCACGAACAACCGCCCAGGATGGAATCATTGATCTATCTTCACTATATTTATTACTGTTATATTTACTTAGACCGCAATTATTTACCTAATTAGTATGAAATTTTAAATGTTCGGTCTAAAAACACGAGAGTTCCAATAAATACATAATTGTTAATTATTAATTTGAAAATTATAAATATAGAACTTTATGATTAATATTCATTTATGATACGCATAAAACTACCAAGAGTCATTCACTACAATCACTTTCTTAAATTTTATAAAACTAGTTCATCCCTTCCTGGATGCCAAACGTTTATTTTTGCATTCTCTAAAAGTGTTTTTCTGGACTTATCTGCACCATATCCCTCAATCTTGGAACTAATGTTAACGGTGTGTCACAGAGACATTAAATTATCCCCAATAACTCCAGATCTCTAATAACCTTTTTCACAGATTTAATGTAAATGATAATAAATACAATATATAAATTAGTGAATTGGAAAATACAGATATGTAGTCCATATATTTTTGAGGAGCGTCGTCTACTTCAGTCGCATCATTGGCAAATAATCGATCATTATTCTGTTTCTATTTGTCACGAGTGTTTGGCAATTTTTTTACGTCGTTTACGACAAATTGCACCCCTAATGCAACAAGGCCATATCTCCGGGAAATTGAAAATTAGGCTTCACCTATTGTTAGATTCCTCGTTTTCCACTAATTCCTGTTTTTTGTATTCCCTCGAGAAAAATTCCGAAGGCTCTCCTATGAAATGAATGATTTTGGAGTTGTAGCCCTGTTACATTAGGGGCGCGAAATGAGCTAATGATGGGGTTTCTTGAATGTTTTCGTTACGGATAAAGCAGTTTATTTTTACATGCTTTCGCACGGCTACTAGATGAAAAAACGTAGGTACATGTTAGCAGCTCTCCAACAACGCTCCATTAGTGTTGTTTGGTACTCAAGTCACCTCGGATATCTGCTCAAATCTTGGAGGCTCAAAAATATTGCATAATGCTGAAGCATAACATGTCGTTGTGGTAAATCCCGCGGAGCGAGGTGAAAAGTTATCGCAACCCTCTTGCGACCTAGTTGTCCAGGGAGATGCATTTATACATACCCGTTATTCTGACCCTAAGCACCGGCAAGAAGTAAGAGCAACGATGCCCTCCGTTGCCTCGCCCACGCGTTTGAAA